ATTAATACGAAGTCAACATTAATGGGTATACATCGTAAATACTAGGGTTTCCCCAATATAGTAACTTAATTTAAGTTCCTTAACAGCAAGCCAGGAAAGGCAGAAAGGAGGCCTGTAGCAGTCCCTACATAGGGCTTTCTCGAAAAAAAGGTGCCTTCAAGTTGGGACTCTAGGGATGCATGGGCTATAGGGGTGCCCATCAGGAATGAAATGAGACCTCTGAATTTTGGAACCCTCCATCCAAGCCGTCATAATCCCTAACTAAGCCCTCATCCCTAAACCCTAAACTAATCTCTCTGTCTCATTCCCTCACTCCCACCTCCTATCTCAGGCTGGGGTGCCAGTTGCGCACCCCCCACCACCCCCCCCCGCCCGCATGTGCTATGGAAAATGCCTGTAGATAATCCCAAGAGTAAACCATGCCTCAAAAGAAGGGTCCCGATTCCTGATGCAAAACGCATCAAAAAGCACGCTTTCCCTAAACCTCACTTCTAGACTATCCCTTATTGGGGTTCGTTGCGGTACAGAAATATCCCGAATGAAGCCCAACACCCTACAATCGAAACCATAAACCACAAGCCCTTGAACCCAAGCCCTAAAGCCTAAGCCCCAAACCCTGAAACCCTGAAACTCACCATATGAGCTACAGTCACGACTACCTACATGATATCATGGACATGGGTTCCTTATTGGGACTATATTAGGGACTATAGAAACCCCTGTGTCCAGCGTTAATGGTCCCTTGGTATGGCTCATATATACAGTAGCCTAAACCCTAAACCCTAAAACCCTAAAATCCTAAACCTTAAAACCCCAAACCCTAAAACCGCTAAACCCTAAACCCCTAAATCCTAAACATTCAAAGCGTAAACCCTAAAACCCTTAACTCTAAAATCCGAAACTCTGAGGTGCCGGCCAGTTGAGAACACCGCGAGGTCAGCCATGAGACCCCAGTGTAGTCCCACAGCACACATTGCAAACCTAGGGTTTGAGGATTTAAGGTTTTAGGGTTCAGGGTTTTAGGGTTTAAAGGTTCAGGATTTTAGGATTTCAGGGTGTCGGATTTTAGGGTCTAGGGTTTTTTAGCGTTTAGGACATTGAGAGGGATACATGCAAGTTCTATGGACATAGAAGGGTTATATAATACCGGGATATATAGGGCTTATGAGGTTACTGGGGTTCCTCGACAAAAACTGGGATACAGACGGGCTATAACATACGGATATACAGAGCTTATATAGGGATATGTAACCTTTCTGTAGGGATCTGTAGAGGTTATATATATATATGAAGATTTCAGGGTTATAGAGGGGCATGCAGATTTCCAAGCAACGAGTGTCCTCTGGGGGTCCTATAACAAGCTTTAGCATATCCTTGGGTTTATACTGGGTCACCTCGTTTATGGAAATTACTATGTGTAGAGGTTATATAGGGGTCTCGACATCAGATCTAACATAAATGATACAATGAGGTCTTATTTCCGGGGCGGTTCCTATCATAGGGAATGTGTACTGTTTGGGGTATAGAAGGTGGTGGCCCATTTTGAGAAATAAGCCTAAAGCCTGAACGCTAACAGCTGTGAATCACTTATCCCGCACAACCTGCCGACACACAGACTAGCACATACTTAAGGGACTTTACCGGAAACCCCAAATAGGGAACCCCAAGAATATGATAGGAATATCATAGGAATATACCTACCATGGTCACTATATTCTATTATGTTCCTACTATATTCTTGGGATTCCCTCTTTGGGGATTCCATTAGAACCCTTCACACATAGTCTTCAGTATATAGAACCCAGCGAGCCATAATTCTAGCGTATGTGCAAAGCAATTCTCATGAAAGAGTGTTGGCAACCCAACCAAAATTAAGACCCTATAATTGCCATATGGTTTTAAGAAGCCAAAAACCCTTGTTATTCAGCCAACTCCAGGGAGGGAGTCAGCAAGCGCCTTCAATGGGCATATATGAGCCATAGTCTATACTCCCAGTATCCCCCTTAATAACTCCTATAGTAGTCCCCCATATAATCCCCTATATAACCCGCCTTGAAGGAGTGTAGACTATAGCTCATATGGGGTTTCTGTGCATCTTTGGCGCATGTCTGGCGTCCTTTCAGAGCTGCTTCAGAAAGCCCTCCCACATCATGGGGTGTCTACAAGCTATGTAAATTGTACATGGGCTATAGTCTAAACTCCTTAATGGGGGTATATAGGGGATTATATAGGGGACTACTCTAGGGCTTATTCAAGGGTATGCTAGGAGTTTAGACTATAGCTTATATGAGGAACCCTGGCCAAAGTGGCCACCTGACAATTCGCAGTTCTGCCGGGAAGCACTGAGTAGATAAACCCGCCTTCTTCGAAGGACAAGCAGTACTCTGTCGGCCAATCCTGCGCGTTCAGGGTAGAGGGTGATAACGCAAAGCTTATGCTGTGAGCTTCCAAGTTCACCCTGAACCCTAGGCCGATTGCTATGAGGGTTCAAGGTAATCCTGTACCCACACCTGCACAATCGTAATGAACACTTCTTCCAGGACATTTGCAAGTAGGAAGTTATCAGGCGGGCTCCCCCGCGAATAGGCTTCTTGAAGGTTCTTTGAGGCCTTGTACGTTAAGTACTCCTCGTAAGCCTACCTTTGATGGGGATTCTGCTTGTGTTTCCTAATTAAGTACAGAAGCCCTCAACCCAAATCTCAAGGCCCATAACCCGTACACACCAACGAGAGCAACCCCACACTCCCCCAAGCAAGACAACAAAACACATCATAAAGCCGAGTCTCCGGTGCGTTGTAGCACCAAATATACGGTTCCTGAGTTCTCACTCAAGCCGTTTGGATTTAAGATTTGAGGCGCAGGGCCTCACCCTTGCAGCAAATATGATTGCATATTCGGGGCGCAAGAGGACCAAAATTGTGTGAAACGACCCTAGGCAAGCATGTGCAAGTAGAGATCTATCCAAAATATAGATTTACGGGCCCAAGCTGTTTGACATCCGAAAAAGCCTTCAAACATGTCTTATGACACGTAAGATGTCCTTGAAAGGTCCCTGACATGCATCCAGCAAGCCCTTAAAACCTAAATGGGAGCTTCCTAAATAGGGGGCCCCAAAGTAGATCAAACTATATCATAAACGCTCTTATAGGTAGGCGCACCCAATTCAAGGCAACCCCAATCCCTGCAAGCCCTTTCCATTTTTTCTTTTCCATCATCCCCATATACTCCTGAGTCATCCTTTTATGAGCTACAGTCTAAACTCGTAGTATCCCCCTTAGCCCCTACAATATTCCCCTATACATTCCCCCCCATAGCCCCCTTCAAGGAGTTTAGACCCTAAACCCTAAATACAGGTTATATATTCCCCCCCCACCTTTATAGCCCCCTTTGCGGAGTTTAGACTCTAGCTCATATGTAGACCATAAACCCTAAACCCTAGATCCTAAACCCTAAATCCTAAACCCTAAATCCTAAATCCTAAACCCTCAACCCTAAACCCTAAAAAAACCAAGGCTCATTGGCCCACATCAGAACCAAACAGATCAAAAGCAAGAAGCTGGCCTTCAAGGGTCCGCGTCTCAAGGCGTTGAGCTCCAGGTTTAGGGTTTAGGGTTGAGGGTTTAGGGTTAGGGTTTAGGATCTAGGGTTGAGGATTTAGCATTTAGGGATGATATAGGGTTGAGGATTTGGGTTTAGGATTTAGGGTTTAGGTTTTAGGGTTGAGGATTTAGGGTTGAAGATTTAGGGTTTAGGATAAAGGGCTGAGGATTTAGGGCATCCAAGAAATTGTGGGCCTTTACCCTTTGGATCAGACATGAAAATCCTAGAAACGATTTAGCGGGTTCTTCCATGGACGCTTGAAACCCTGTGTCATGTCTTTGCTGCAAGAGTAGGGTTCATCTGGGGGCAGTTGATTAGGGTTCAGGGCTTGGGGTGCAGGGCACACCAGACGGCATGTCGCAACAAGCCTGATTGTGACATGGGGGATTGTCAAAATTATGGTCCCTATTTGGGTCCCCTAAATTAGGCCCCGTATTAGGCCCCGTATTATAATAGGGACCCAAAAAGGGACCATAATTTTGACAATCCCCCACATGTTGACCACAGTCCCACTTGGAACAGCAGGGAATTGTATGCAATGCTCCTTGAAGGCTGATTAGACCTCCTAGCTTGTTTGAGCCAGCAGAGGAAGCATCTTGAAACCGTTGCAGGCAAGGTGCTAAGTCGTATGACTTTGTAAGATATTTCGGAAATGGGATTCGGAACACCCGGACAGTTTGCCGCCGGTAGTACGCGAGGAAAATGTCACGAGAATGCTGCACCAGTAGCCGCAGCAAGGTCAGTGCATATGTCATGACTCGAAAGATGAAAGTCACGATCCTCACCTAGGAGGCTCTTAGGGTTTAGGGTTTAGGGCTTAGGGTTTGAGGTTTAGGTTTTAGGGTTTAGGGTTTAGGTTTTAGGGTTTAGGGTTTAGAGGATCCTTTAGGAGGACCCCCCACCCAGTCATAGTGACTGTAAGGGATAATAGGGATCATATTAGGGTCTTCTTATATTCTTGTTATACCACTATTACAGGGTGGGGGGTCCTCCTACAGAGGATCCTTCTTTTGCTCCTCGAGTCCAGACACTGGACAGAAACTCCAGCCTGCCAGGAGTGCTCAAAAGCTAAAAAAGATCCCGAACACAAGCCACGTCACTTCCAAGGTATCTCGGTACTCTGGCAACAAAGTTTGACTAACCATCAGAATAACCAGGCTGACGATGAACCACATCTTTGAAGTGAGAAACTCGTGGGTCACAATGCCTGACCATAAAAGGTTTGCTACCAAGTCAACGGCAACGTGCGAGATGATCTTGGGATCACCCAATGCAACCAGAGCTGGCAAGGCACCTGCAGACGGGAAGCTCTTTCAGGGGAGTGTGCCGTGAACAAAGCATAGTCAGCTTACCGTGATAAACAGTACTTCACTCCCTCTACCAGGAAAATGCCAACTTGCCTGCAAAAACCCCATCGGAACCAACGACGAGGTTCTTGACATAGTAGTTGACTCGGCGCATACCCTGGTTGACCGTTCGAGATCGCCAGATCAGACCCTCCAACAAAGTAGGCAGCAGCATGGGTGCTTCAGTGCAAAGAATCTTGATGATGTCCGGATGCCGCTGGAACAAGTCATCCACCCCGTAGTAATACCTCTCTCTGTCTGCTCTTATTGCAAGGAGATCCTCAATGATGGCCTTCGCAGCACTCAAGCTGCCACTTTCAATTGCCCATCTGAAAGGTGAGATGTCCTGCCAGTTACAGACAGGCAGGGTTCTCTATATGCCCTCCCAACCATCCACCTAAAACTTATATCCCAACCCTACATTGTCATAAGAGCCCCTCCCCCCCCCATCCCAACCCTACATTGTTATAAGAGCCCCTCCCCCCCAAAAAAAAACAAGACTGATCAACTCTGCCCCATCTCCTGGGTGCCAACCTTGACAATCAAGACCCAATTAGCCCGCTCACCTGGGTCGTGGGCAAATAGTGCCTTGTCTTACTTTTGGTTAGCTGGGAATGAAGGAATGGAAGATACAACGGAAACTACTATAATGGACTTAGGGTTTACGGCTAGGGCTTAGCAGAAATGGAAAAGAACATGGAACCGCATATATATATATATAGGGACGACTATATGCATCCAGTCCTTCATTCCTAGCAAACCAAAGGTAAGTTGTTACTACCAGTAGTGCTACTATTGTTGCTATGATTCTTGTCGTATTTTTATTGTGAATATTGTTGTTGTTAATATTACTGGTATTTGGTTTGCAAGAGATCAGAACGTTTTGGGAGGCCATTTGGGGGACTAAGGCTTACGGCCTTGGGAGAACTTAGGGCTTTGGTAGGTGGGGGATCTAAGGGGTTGCAGCCAGGGATTGGGAGATTGACGCTTTAGGAACTTTAGGCTTGAGTCTAGCGTGTGCTGTTGGGGGGCAGAAGGAGTCTTGTAGCGACTATAAGGCTAAGCTAGACAGCCTATAGCATGATGTGTTTAAGTGATGTTCTCATACAGAAAAGCCCCCTGAAGTTGACAAAGTCTGTCATGAGGGCTCTGAACGGGATGTGCATGGACAGCGCAAACCTACGCCCAAAACCATCTAAACGTTGGAGTCAAACCAGTTCGTAGCCCTGAAGCTCTCCAACAAACTGGTGCCCTTCATCGGGGCATATAATTTCGGGAACCCCAAAACCCTAAAGACCCTTAACCCTACTCCCTGGCCTCGTGGAGCACAGCTCAAAGCCTTAACCAGTTGAAACACGGAGTTGTTGTTGATCGCCTTCATGTCTTTGGCGCTTATGGGGATTGTAAGGTTTACGGGGTTTATATCTCTATACATCTCTTATAGGGTGTATACGGCTGATGGGTTCATACAGGCCTTTAGGGTTTGAGTTTGGAATGTTTAAGTAGGCTTTAGGATTCATACGCCCTGCAGTGTTTGCCGGGTGGAGGTAGGTTTCTAGTTGTCCATACCGGGATAGTCTTCCTGCTATCATTTTGCACACCATACTTGGTTTTGGTACGACACATTCCAGCAAGACTTCCAACGATTACCCACCTAAACCCTAAACCCTGAAACCCTAAACCCCTAAACAGTTCACAGATTTGGGGCTCGAGGCTCAAACTTTAGGCTAGCATGCAGTTGAATGCTTGGGGCTTCAGGCTTAGGATTTAGGTCTCCGGGTGAAGAGTTTAGTAAGTTAGGATCTGGTGTAAGGGGCTTGGGGTTCAGTTCTTCGGTGGGCGTAATGTGTTTGTCGGTCGTTTCCACCTCCTGTTGGGTTGCTATTCAGAGAGCCATGTAAACAGAACAAATCTCACCTCCCTCCAAATTCAAGGTTCCTTAAGGTTTCGGACCACAGGAGCTAAGCCCAGATTCAGAACCCCGAGCTATCAGCCGTTTAAGGTCCATCAAGGAGGATGTGAAACCACCGCCTTCATGACGATGGTGGAGCCCTCCGTGACCGTGTGCACAAGCCTTGGTGCCAGGATGAGGGTTTAGGGTTTCGGGTGTGCGGGGTGAGTGGGGAATGAGGGAATTTTATTATATAGAGGTTATATTCCCATACAACCCCCTAAACCCAAAAACCTTAACCCTAAACCCTATACCCTGAACCCTGAACCCTTAAACGTGAACCTACTAAGAACCAATATGTAACTTAAGGATGTAGAGCTTCGGGTTGCTGAGGAATCCCGCAGGGGGCCAGCCGGAAGGGTGACCTTTAAAGGATGCACTCGGACATATTGACGTATACCTTGACCTCCAAAGACTGGCTTTAGACCGACAAATGAAGAGTATCTAGGCCCTAGGCCATTATCAGAGGCATTTGAGCCAGAGTCTACATGAACTCCCAGTACCCCCTTAACAACGCCCATAATACTCCACTATATAGTCCCCTGTAATCCCCCCAATTACTTGGAGGGTCAGGGAGACTTAGTAAGTGGGTTGTACATTAGGGGTCATATTGAGGGCCATATATATATATATGTATCTACGTATCTATCTATATATATATATCTATTCTGTATATTATCCAGCGGTTGCAGTGGGGGCAGTGCCCTCTGTCTAGCACATCGTCAAGATTGAAACTTGTACGCCCTGAGCAGTAGTGCCTCTTATAAGCCTTGAACAGGCAGAGCAGCGTTGTCATCAAGACCCCAAAGAAGGCGATCATATCTTCGAGAGCCCTAGGCACAAAACCCTAAACTCCTATACCCTACACCCTAAACCCCTACCCGGACCCAGGACACGTCCTACCTTCTTGCGGGAATATGCCTAAGTTATAGCACACATACCCCAAGAGGAAGTAGGTAAACCCTAGTAACACACTATGCAATCCTGAATAATCCCCATATCACCCCATAACCCTATAGAATCCCAATATAACCCCATGTAACCCTAAACCCTAGTAACATTGACCCAGAGGCATCTGTGAGATGATGGACAAGGACCAGCTGAAAGACTCCAGGACGAGAGGATCAGATATGTGGCCTCGCAGAGCGTCCACTGCTGCCTCCGTAAACCTGCGGCATTGGTGGCTTCCCAAAATAGGGGACTCCAATATAGACCACAAAATGCCATAGTCCTCATCATAGGGACCCCAGAAAGGGTACCCTTAATTTTGGAAAACCCCAATGGGAGCAGGGTTTGTTGTTCTTTTTTTCCGAGCCCACTTTCCGACTGCACAAGAATGCTCCATCAAGCAGGGCCACTGTTTAGGATCAGCGATTTTGGGGGATTAGAGGTTTGGGGTTTGGGATTTAGGGATTTCAGTTTAGGGTTTCGGGATTAAGGCTTTAGGGTCTCCATAAACAGGGACATACAAGGATGATGCGAAAGACAACTGAATCAATTATGAGGGTTTAGAGATATTCCCCCCATAATAGATAATCAAATCCAAAGAACATGGAACATGAAACGGTAACTGGAGGTAGATGTGGGCTTAATTCAAGGGATTAGGGTTCTGCTTGAGGACCCCCGCACAATACAATGAGGATCAGGGTGCTCTGGGGTCTTTCTAGGGGTCCCCATACTGCTGGAAAACTCCCAGGTCCCAGATGTAAGAGGATGTAGTAGACTCCATGAGGCACGCAGAAAGGGAAATGGAAACCCCTAAACCCTATTTGACCTGAACCCTTAACCTAAACCGGGGGTTTAATGCTTGCCATGCACTAGCTTTTGGCATCGCCCAGTACAAGCTTTTGAAATTTGAGGATCTTTCTGGTATGTTTGCTGCAAACTGTTTGCTTGCTAAACTCTTCAAAGCAGGAAAGCTTTTCTAACACTGACCCTGAAACGGCCCAAACATCTCTGTGGGGATGCCATAGCCGACGTGGCGCAACCCAAGTGCAGAGACATCGTCAACCATCTGCCTGGGTTCATGTTGTTTCCTTAGGGGTTTGGGTTTAGTTGTTCTCATAGCGAGGAGTCTTGTTGCATCCGTTACCAGCGGTACTGTTATTATGATAATGATAAGGGTCTCAGGCCGTTCTCAGGTAAATTCTCCAGGAAAACATCAACATTTGGGCCTGCTTGTACACCTCGCCTCCCCGACGCGAAGCAAACCCATCTCTTGTACAAAAACCTCCCATGCACCTTTCACAACTACAATTTGCATTCCACCTGCAAGTCTCCAAAAATCAGGTCCGCTTTCTTCAATGCCCACATCTTCGGTATACCTTTGGGTGCTCCCTACGGGAACCTCCCCAGAAGCATAGTATTCCGCAGCCCTACTCGCCTTACTCTTCCGCAGCCACATAAAAACCGGGAATGAGTAGCCCTAAACTCTATAAGCAGTACGTAGCTTATCGAAACTATGGCCCTGTCTTGGGTGCTGAATCTGTAGGGCACCACAAGAAGCAAAATTTTGACCACCTGCCAAACGTCCCCAAAGGCCCAGCTGCAACCTCAAACCCTAATCCCAGAATCCTAAAGCCGAAGTCTAAGTCTAGCGTCCTAGCGTTTGCCCCCCTAAGTCCTAACTATGGGTCCTCCATGGGGCTTCTAAGAGTTTGTGGGATATAGTTGGGACATATGAACCTCAGAAATCAAATCACGGCCCACACCAGGGGCAACTCTGAACCCTACACCCTAAACCCTAAATCCTTAAACCCTAAACCCTAATGGCCCAGCTGCCATGGGTCTTGAAGCAGCTTTAGCGACATGTTGGTAGCGCTCTCGGCAATGAAGTGAAGTCGCGTATTCGACTGCTTGAAGTAGTCCTGCCCTGCAGGAACTGTTGAGAAGAACCTCTCCTGGGCTTGCTGCAAACAATAAACCTAGAGCTCCCCTATGTAGTTCCTTTTGGGTATGTAGTATATTCTAATCCCTTACTAACAAACCAGAAAGGAACCACGTTGGATCTCTTGGGTGCGGTTGGGTTAAGGGCTCAGGGTCCACGCTTTAGGTCTCTTGGGTTTAGGGCTTCTTGTCCATGGCGTTTAGGTTTTGCAGTTTAGGACTTCTTGTTCAGGGTTTAGGGCTTAGGGTTTCGGGGGCTTGCTGTTTCAGTTGTGGGGTTTAGGGCTCGGGGTTTACAGGTTGACACTTGGTCAAGCCTGTACGTGATATGGAGCTTTCTCGTTCGAAGTTTCAAGGTTACGGGCGGGACAGGTATGCCTACAATCAGCCCCAAACTGAATTCGCGAAACGAACCATGCAAAGCCACATGTTGAATCTCTGCTTTTTCAAAAGACCCCCCCCCATCACCCAGTGGAAAAAGGTGGCTCTTTTCGCTCAGTAGCATTATGAGGAACCTCGTGCCCAAAAGGCACCGAACGGCTTTAGCTGAACCCCTATAAAAAAAAATGACACAATCACCCCGCTCCAAGCCCCAAGCCCTAAACCCTAATCCCTATAGACTCTAACCCCTAAACCCTAAAGCCCAAACCCCCTAAACCCCTAAACCCTATAACCCCTAAACCCTATAACCCCTAAACCCTATAACCCTATAACCCCTAAGCCCTAAACCCTAGGCCCAGCGTCATAGAGTTGGACGCGATAACTGAAGAGTTGCTCGTCGCTCAACGTGGCAAACATCGTCTGCAAGGCTTGCTCCCACAGAAGAGGCTTACCCATGGTCTTCCTGGGATGCTGAAATGTAGGGATATAGAGGGAGATGTAGGGACATATATGGTTCTATAGGGAACACGTAAAAAAACAGAAACTACTACATGTTGCTCGAGGTTATTACCTCAATATTGGAGCCGTTGTTGCCGCAATGATGGAGAATCAAATGGAACGGACAATGGACAAACATATGCAAACTGGGTTTAAGGTTTATGGTGTCGGGATCAAGGATATGTAGGGATTGTAAGAGGATGCTTGAGGCTCCTAAAGGATTATATGGGGGCTCTCTTGAGGAAGACCCATCGTAAGTGACCAGGAAATGGAGAAATAGTACACAATCCAGTTTCCTGGATTCTCGTACTGGTAACCCTAACTAACCCAAACCCCTCTAGATATCCCTATGCAAACCCTACATCACCCTTCAATAAGGGGTCTGATTTATCCCTTCAGAGACCTTATTTCCGCCTTTGTCAGGACCCATTCTAAGTTCCCTAGACCAATATCCGCCGTAGAAGGGACCCATTCTGAGTTCCCTAGACCATAAACCCTAAACCCGAAACCCCGAACCCTGAACCCCAAACCCTAAACCCCAAGCTCTAAACCCCATGTCCTAAGCCCTGAAGCCCTGAACCCAAAACCCTCAACCCCAAGCCCTGAACCCTGAACCCTGACAGCAACCTGGCTTCTTCAGAATCGTCTCAATGTTGTCCCAAAGCCAGTTCCAAGCAACCTCGTCTTTTCTCAAGTCACCAGTCAGGGTTTAGGTTTAGGGTTCGGGTTTAGGTTTAGGCTTTGGGGTTTAGGGTTTAGGTTCAGGGTGTAGGGTTTTAGGGTTTAGGGGTTTGGGTTTAAGGGTTTAGGGGTTATAAGGCAATCATATGCATTTGTGCGGTCATTGGATACCGGAAGAGAAAATGGAAACCACTTTATCATGTTCAGGGCTTAAGGTCTAGGGATATTATCTTGTATAATGTAGAGTTAAGTGGACAGAAGATGGAAGAAAACCTGGAAATCATTTACTGGTCTAAGCCTACAGTCAAGTTCCCCTAGAGCCTCCCCCATACACCCGTCCCCCCACAGTTCCTTCCCACTGGGCCAAATTATGGGGAACAGTGGGGTAATATGCACAGAGGGAGTAGAGGAACTCATACCCTAAACCCTAAAACCCAAACCCCTGAATCCTAAACACATGAACCAATGTTTAGGGCTCTCCAGGGCATGGGACTCTCCAGGCAATTCCAGCACAATAGTGCCGTTGCCATCAGGATCGAACCCCAAGAACCCTCCAAACTCTGGACTCTCTTGGCCTTTGACCCTGTACTAGACCCTAAACCCTATATAACAAAGTTTCCAATGTGTTATAACCTATGTAATCCTTCAACCCTATATAACAAATTCTAGTAGTTTTCATGTTCTTTTCCATTGTCCCAATACAACTTATGTTATCCTTCAACCCTGAAGCCCTGAACTGCCCGCCTCATGCGTCGTGTCCCAGACCGTAGGAAGCAACGACCGCAAGGCCGCCAACATGCACGACTTAAACTCAGAGAGATTCACCCAGTTCACTCCAGCTGCAGTCACCTGCCACAGTTTGGATTTGGAAGGTTCTGGATGGAGGGTTCATGGTCTGGGGGCACCCCTAAACCCTCTTTAGGGCCAGGGCATCAGGTGAAGCATGTAAGGCGAGGCTGTTCTCAAAACGTTGGCGGTTATTTCCGGTGAGGACTGTAGTTTGAGGCAGGGGAAATAGCAGGTCCTAACTTTCCATAAGTCCCTCCAATCCTAGGTGGCGGTATCACTATGGACCCAATATAATACCTCTATATAACCCCTTTTGCAGCTTTTATTTTCGTTTCCATTATCCCAATACATCCCCAGTATAACCCTTACATAGGTTTAGAATTAACTGTACCCCTAAACCCTAAACCCTCAACAATCGGGGGGGATCCTAGGTTTTGAAATGCCGGCCTTTGCAATACGGATGGACACAATGTTGCACTCCTGCTGCAAGCGCCTCATATCCGCAATGTGCTCGACCATAGCTGAAAAGCTTGCCAAGATCTCCTGCATCCACTTACCTGCAGCATAGTCAGTTGGGATAGAATTCAACAAATCTTTCTCAGGCCCGTTGCGAGGAGTATCTTACGCAACGATCAAACACTCACTGATGTGTGGGTGTTTCCATACATAAGGGCCCAAGAAATAGAATGGCCAATATAGCAAACGCCCCTAGTGTGAGACCTTGGAAGAGGGACCCGAAACTTCTAGAATCCCCTATCTTGGAATTGCTTCTCTCCCCTCAACTCCTCTCCTCAACTGAGTCGTCTGCCACAGGCACCTGTGCAGGAAACCCCAATCCTTAACCCTAAGCCCAAACCCCGTAAGCCAAAACCCTCCCTCCATAGCCAAGTCGCGTCCTGACAAGCCCATAACTGCGCAGTTCCACTGGAACATCTCTGTAAATGTCCTAGTATCGTTGCTTTTTCTGCTTGAGTGTTTAGTAATGGATTCCGCTACCTCCCCTCTTCCTCCAGTACTACACCCCTCCCCAAGGTCTTCCCTTCAGTAGAGTTCTTTACGGACACTTCCGGCTAGTTGAGGTGGGTAGCAGGGGAAACCATGATGGTAGGATCCGCTAATAACCCCTAAAGCTTAACCCTTAAAACAGGGTCTGGTTTTGGGGGGCTCAGGGTTGGGTGCGAGGGTTTAGACAAAGACTTAGCTTATATCCATAGCCGGACTATGGGAAGTACACTTGTTCCTTGAACACCCTACGGCTGTAGCCGACCGTCAATTCAATAGCAGCAAATGTCCTGGGAACATCCGTCGCTTGGATTTGCGACTTGTTGGACTTTGTCGTCTCTTTCGGCTTAGCCTCTTTCCTTTCCTTTCTTTTATCCTCCTGCTTCTCCATGACCTGTGCGTCCTTCCCATATCCGCAACCTGAGCGGCGCTTTCAAAGCTACACCAGGCATGTTGCGAAACACTAGTGGTATCCAGAGTGGTCAGCACAACCTAGTACCTATAGCTTCGGTTCTTCCCTGCCTAGAACCTAAACAAAAGTGGTTGTTTTTATGAGCGCCCTTCAGGAACGACAAAGAGAAAGAACAAAATGCCCTAAATCACCACCCAGCATCATTTGCAGCATTTCCTGGCTTCCAGTTTGCCCC